AAAAAAGAAAAGAAAAGATAATCTTCTAACATTTAAACGAAAAAAAAATGCGACTGGACTTTGACCGGTGTCGTGCATGATTTACTTTAAGAAAAGAAGTACTTTTTCTTTCACCTTGCCTCTCGGCGATTTCTTGTGCCCTGGCACCCCACATCCCGTTGTTGCAAACAAGGATGCGTTCTCCGCGTTCTACAAGGTTCATGATCGAAGCTTCCATTGCAGCATGTCCCGCACCAGTGATCGCCAACGTGTACTCGTTGTTCGTTTGAAACACGTACTTCAGACCAGCTTTTGTCTCGTCCATAACGTGATGGAAATCAGCCTGTAAATGACCAAGAAGTGACATGGCAGAGGCATTATAAATTCTCATGGATGGATTCGATGGGCCCGGCCCGAAAAGAAGTTTCGTGGGAACTGACAGAGGGACAAAAAGTTGTTCTGGAGGCGGGATGTTAAGCCTCGGTTCGGCCAACTTGGCGGTTAATGTTGAGGCTGCTCTCACTTCAACGCGGAGAGGTCCGCGAACGGCCACTCCGATAAGACGAGAAAATTTTGCCGCGTTCATATTTTTTTTCTTGAAAATATGGAGCCGCTCTGTAGTACGTGTACTAATGCAAATTGTAGTAGTAAATACCGGTTGGATTGTTTATAAACAGAGTGACACGTGATCAAAAGGGCGAGAAAGGCCAGTTTGCATCACAGAAAACCAGACGAGCGAGTTTTAGTTTTCTTATGATCTTCAGCTCGTCACGTAAGATACAAATATTTTCATTTCCCCACCAAAGAAAGCTTGTTTATGGTTTAAGTATTATTCAATAAAAAGTACACATATTCCAAAGTCAAGAGTGAGATTTCATGTACGATTTCCACTAAACTTTTCCTGTTATCCAAGTGGCGTGAACTGTGCCTTCGCGGTCGTCTTGACTTAATATTGTATTCGCACAAAATGTTCGATTACATCACAACAGCCGACGTGGGCGTGCTGGAGGTGTATATGTACGCACGAATGAACCCTTATGTGGATAATGAATTGAATTTTTTAGTTGGGAAGCGGTTGAAATTACTAGTTGTAAACTTTACTACCCTCGTGATTGGAAGAATTTTATATTGCAAAATTATTAAAAATATTTTATTTCAAAACAAATTCACGATCAGTCACGCGAATTTACAGTCGTGTCGGGGTCGGAGGCAATAATTATCTGTGCGTACGCGAATTCATTCACACATTTCCCGCGAATGTTGCCGCATCACTTCCTGTGTACAGCCTTTGTGATTTGGATCAGGAGTCACGTTTCATCTTATTCCAATGAGCCTTCAAATACTCCATCTCTTTTTCTTCACATACTAGCTTGGGAGAATCGTTTCGTGTTCGAGTCAGTTCTTTTCTATCGCTTCCCTTCCTATATTTTCAAAGTAGACCATTAGCGGTTTCTCGCTATTCAAAATAACAAGATAATCGTACAGTGTGTCTAGCTAATGGTTTGGCTCGACTTAGGTGTCCAGAGATAGCTTCAACCGTTTCTCTAGATCTGTTGGATCAATATGTTTGTCACGAGAATATTTTGGAAGAAGTGGAGGGAAAACGAGGCAACAAACGGACCCTAGTTTCATCGCCGCGAACGATATTCATCTTGGCGCAAAAAGCTACCCTAAAATCAAAACATAAATTTCCGGATGCCAGTTTTTAATTGAACATTTCAGAAATTATTATTACTTCGTTGGGCGTTGTAGCGTATTTTGCGGTCTTAAGTGGAGAAACTGGCAGGTCAACATTAATGTATTAAAGCCCGATCGCGTGATTGTTCAGACTGATATGAGATCATTTTTTTCAGTTGTATCATTCTCAATCCCCTTCCAAAATGATAATTGACAGCAACGGCCTTTCATGTGTAAATTAAAAAATGGAGTTTATGTTCTTGAGCTTAAAAATATGTTTTGGGCCCTTCTCAGAGCTCATTTCAACCCTCGCCAAACTGGTTGGTCTAAGGGCGTAATTACATGAGCCGGGCTGATTTCATTTGTTTTCACGCTTTGGCGAACACCAAACAAAAGAAATCAGCCCGGCTAACAGGGCCAGCCCGGCTCATGTAATCAGGCCCTGAATGACTTTGAGTCGGGCACAAAGCGTATCTATGCCCCGGAACATAAACTCTATTGTTTATTATATATGATTGTTTATTATACATGATTTTTGAAAATTTTTAGTAATTTGAATTACAAAGGCCGCGGTTGCTGTCATTTTTGTTCTAGTGGCACTAATTTTTGGTTTTAGCTCCTTATGAGGTACGATTTGTACAACAATACAACATTTCATAACTACTGTTAAAGGGTAGAATTCTTTGCAGAATGGTTTCACAGACATAGCTAATTTTAATTAATAAATCGACAGTGGTTTGCGTGGTCTGTACTCTTATCGACAACGATCTTCATCATCACGGTGGTTAAAATTTTGTGGTTCCGAGTCCGCAACAAATTTTTACCACTGTGATGACGAATATCGTTATCGATAAGTGTAGAGACCATGCCAAACCACTGGCGATGTGTTTTTTATCACAATATCGACGTCAAATAAAATGATCTTTTAGTGCGTGACACTTTGCGTGACACATCGACGCGAGCGGCGTAATGTCAGTACTTTTATCGACAGCAGTAAATAGGCCAATATTACGATATGACTGCCAATTGTGGTGACAATTTTTTTTTTCACACTTAAATGAACTAATAGATTATTTAATGTATCATTTCTTCATTTTCATAGTCTGCTGGTGCACATTACCATCTACTATTGTTTTGCTACAAAATTTTGTTACGTCCACGCTGAGTTCTATACTAATGGTTGTTCTACAATATAAGTCATGTACCTGTAGATTTGCTTAGCTTCACTCCTTGCCTTATTAGATGTTCAATCTCTGATAACATTCACATCAATAATAATGCTACTATTTACACAAGATGCTGAAATTAAAATTTCCTGTCCAACTTCAACATCTACATCTTATTTCAAAACAATAGCGGCTTGTCTCCAGTGTGATTCAGGGTAATCTCCACTGTACGTTGATAGTGAAAGTTGATGGCCAATGTGCAGTGCAAACCAGTAGGGAATGGCTTGAATCCTCCCTGACTTGGAGACTTTCACTCTTTTCTCAGAGTGGGTTTCAAGTAAAGAAAGTAACTTATTTTCGTCATCAAACTGCTCCATGAAATTTACACTAAAAAGTTCAGTATGGTTGGTGATGCTTGAAAATGGGAGAGTTGTAAGGTCAATATCTATCTGAGTGGTTACTTGAAAGTCATTCACAAAGTGGCCAATCTCAAGCCCTAGTGTTCTGTCCTGGTCAAGTACACAACAATTGGCAAACAGAAAGGGGGACTCTATGCACATGCAGTACAGAGTGAATCCCATAGGAAGGGTTTGAAAATTTCGAGGTGTTAGCAGACATCCTCTTGAAAATACAATGTCTTCCATAACTTGCTGGCAAAGGACACCAGATGGCTCTACAGTGTCACTCACAAGCAAATTCCATTTTCTTCCTTCTCTGGCAATTTCTTCAAGTTTCTTCGGACCTTTCTCAATAACATCTGGCAAATGATTTGTGCGTAAAATATGTTCTATCCAATCAGTATTGTGAGGATTTAATATCAAGACATGGTCTGCCTTTCCTCTAGCAGCAAAATGAGAAAACAAAGCAGGGCCATTAGTTATGTCAAGAACATTACAAACTCCATCTTTACTAGGATTTTCATTGCCACTGCCTAAATGCTGTTTCAGTTTCAAGGAGTTAACAGCTCCTGAGATGACTTCATCATACAGGCTGTTTAAGGAGGCATCATTCAGGCGCCGCATGTATGAAGGTGGAATGACTGCCACAATCTCTTCAATGACATTCTTCCTTTCGATCAAGGGATTCATTGATATTGAAGTTTGTCTCTCCCTTTCAGATGGTACGCCACTAACTTTAGATTCAAAAACTGGTTCTGTTGTGTTACTTCCACAAAAATTGAACCTCAGGCAATCTTTAGAAAGCTCTCCTTGAAGAGAAAGCAAGTCTCCCTTTGAAACTGCCAATTTACCTGAGGAATCACCGTAACTTGCGAAAATGGGGAAAATTGCTTGCTCCCAGCACAGAGAATCATCCTTGGGGCCAGTTGAAAGAGTTATATCTTCATCTAGTAGCAAATCAAACCAGACTGCCACTGCATCAGCTTGACCGTGGTGAGTTGCAGTGATTTCAATCTTTAAGTCCCTGTCTTTGTTCAAGCTACTGGGGTTGTTAAAATTATACTCTGTCACTTTAAAGGGGCATGTGAGAGGTGTAAAGCCACCTCTTAGCCGGTCCAAACACTCTGTACTGTATGGTTCAAGCTGATCACATACATTGATACTTGCAGATGGTGTTTCTGTCTTTTGTTACATTAGCTCTCCTCCTATGCTACACTCTGGAAGCATTTTAAGTTCCCTCATTGTTGGTTTACACCTTGTTTGATTTCTGATGTCATCACACATAATAACCATAGCATAAAGTACAGCACCACCAGGAATGACCTTAGAAATGGGTTTTACATCAGATTCTGACTTCTCCTCTGGTGGGAGAATCAGCAAGTTACACCATGCATGTTCTATGGTGGTGAGAATTCCTTCTCCAAGGAGACCACAGTCAAGTGTCTCAGTAACCACCAAAGAAACCTGCTTTGGGATATCCTTTCCTACTGTCATCTCAGTTGATTTCTTATGCACAGTGTGAACAAACTTTTCCATTTTGTTAGCCCTCAGCACATCCTGACCCATTTCAAACATGGTCTTGGACATTTCGCAGGCATAGACCTCTTTTGCTCCACTTTGAACAGCAAACATGCTTAAAATACCAGTACCACTTCCAATATCGAGGACAACGTCATGCCCTTGGCCTATGGCCTTGGCAATGGCTTGTTTGTAAGCTACATTTCTTTTCTTGTCATTCAACATTCTAAAATGCCACCTCTCTACCAAAAGATTTGCTACATTTTCAAGATTTTCTTTCGCTCTTATACTCGTGGGATTTAGATGTAATGCCCGTCTAAAACACGAAGCAGCCTCATCAGTGAAACCCAACTTGACCAAGTTTGCTCCTGTGTTGATAAGAACAATCTCACTTTGCGGATACAGTTTTAATGCTTCCCGAAGACAAATAATCATTTTATCCAGCTCGCCACGAGACTCAAGTATCTCTAACCACTTTCGCAAAGCGAGGATGAAGTCTATCTCCAACGCTTCTTTAGATGAAGGTTCCATATTAGCCAAAAATACCAAATGCGCCAAGGCATCGCCATACTTTTCGCGATAAAGACAGCTCTTAGCAGCATGAAAATGCTGTGAGTAAGAAGAGTTTTCTTGCATTTTCGGAAACTATCCCAAATATTTGGAGCCAAATTCTTACGATTCTACAGAGGTTTGATAGAGAAGCCACGAATTCGAACCAGAAAGAGCGCTACAATTAACGATCTTCGCCGTTCTCTTCGCCGCCATCTTCTTTATGTATAAATCTGCTGTTTGACTGCGGGCGCTGTCATCAAAGCGAGGCTGAGCGCCGGTGTTGCCATGGATATTATGTAAACGCTGGCAATTTTACATTGTTTCCAGCCGGTGAAGCAGTGAACAGAACGAACGATCATGACAGAGAATCATCCAAACTCGCTCGCTTTCATTCCTAGTTATATGGAAGTTAAAGGATCTCTTTTCTTACGATCTGATCACATGGATTATGGTAGACCAACTCTTGTGTCGAACTGGTAAGTCGCTTTCGAGCAAACGGTATTTGTCGCGTGCAGTTCCTGTCTCGATTGTAATCGAACGATAAACATTATTTTTGTTTTCCCAAAAGAAAAGGGGGAACCTACGTTTCTTTTTCTTAATTTAAGGCCTATCAAATAGTACATTTGATTGAAAAAAGAGTTGCATTTTCAATTAATTTCATGTCCCGTGGAAGGGGAGCATTCGGAGTGGGACGAGTTACTATGTTGACTAAGTTGGGTCCGTAGTCGTTCTATAAGTAAACAGTGCGTGGTTTGTTTGGATCAAGCTCTTTTGTGGAAAAGTGTTTTATTGTTATATCTATTATACATTGGTACGTCGTTGCAGCCCGACGTACCAAAATAAAGAAAATTTTTTGTTTATTCTTTGCAAGAATTGCCAACTTCCAGTTCAATACATTGAAACTAATAGTAAGGTAACATTTGCAAACGAAAGATTAAACAAATTGACCTCCTTTCTTTGTTTGGATCAAGCTTTTATGCGAACGCGTTCCACGTTTACATCTATTATACATAGGTACGTCGTCGCTGTTCGACATATTAAAACAACATATGCATTTCTGTTTATTCTCTGCAAGATTTGCAAATAATTCTAGTTTCATTGTAGCCAATAGTTATTCATTGTAACATTTACAAACGAAAGATTAAAGAAGTTGATCCTCCTTTTCTTTTTTTTTCCTTTTCGCTATGAATGACCTTCAGAAATGACCCCACATTTCTTTCCCAACCTTTCAAACATTTTGGCAGTACTTTAAGATTTTCTTTGTCATTTTCAGCTCTTGAAGTCTGAGCATGTTTAGTTACTCTCTCAACAAAAATATACAGCTGGTTTGAACTTTTACTAATATCAATCAACTTTTCTACATTTAATAGGCATCAAGCAAGGGAAGCTGAGCCCAAAGACTATGACATCAAAGATTACCAGCCCGAAAAGAGAAATCTCCATAACTCCACATACCACCGCATTGGAAATGTCACAGATGGGGTAAGAAAACTTGATAATTTATTGAAAGTTTTGCACATAAGATTCAAGACTTTTTGCAGTTTTATATTTTCATGATCTCCATGCCCCTCATTAACAAATTTGTCTTTTCACACTTCCATACCAATTCTCACACATCCCCTCCTCCTGTACCCCATGCTTTTGGGTAGGGCTATACCCCACCCTGCATTTCCCTCTATTATTTCTTAAGATTTTATTTTATCTAGATCCTTAAAACTCTTTTTTTTTCCTTGGTAAGATATTTAAAATTGTAAGGTTTCAAAAATTTCCAAGAGATTTTATGGACCCTGTTAAAGGCTTGAAAATGTGATCTCAAGTGCAAATTAAAACTTGTTATACACCACTTTATGGTATGTATTTTGATTAAAATAATATCAACGTACTTTCCATTTATTTCTTCTCTCCTCCAGTCTTTACCTGAAACAACCAGTCATGACCAGATGGAACAAGCAGTGAAGCTTAAGAGTGACTTTGAAACAAGAGAAACAAGGCGGCAGATGGTAGACATGAACACTTTTAACAGTGTTGATTTCCAAAGGTACATGATTATCTAATTTACAAATATATCATGTATTTATGAAACTGTTTCTCTTCCTTACTCAGCTGTCAGCACTTACTGTTTAAGTGCTGACAATTGAGCTCAACCGCCTCCCGGTTAGCTCAATTGGTTAGAGCGCCAGATTGTGTTGTGCAGGAGGTCAAGGGTTCGAGCCCTGGCCGGACCGATACTCATGGTCTTAAAAGAAGTGAGGAGAATTTGCTACCTTTCTATAATCAAGAAATGGATAGATATTCTAGTCTTCTCGGATAAGGACGAATAAACAGTAGGCCCTGTCTCCTGCAGGGTTAGGGGTAGGAGACGTTAAATTTTCCACGCACGAGATTACTGTGTCATGGATGTCCTTCC